GAATTAAAAAATTTCAGTGTTCACCACCTTAGTGTAGGAAGAGAGAGAGAGAGAGAGAGAGAGAGAGAGAGAGAAAGGGAGGGAGGGAGAGCATGTTTGTATGTTCATGTTATTAAGTGTTGCTAAGTATTTGTTATTGTTATTAAATTAATGTTGAGTTGTTTTGTTGTCAACACCTGCATCCGTCTTAATCATCGTGCAATATGTGCACTTCGTGTAGTACACAATCGCTGCGTGTACAACTGCATACGTTTGATATATGTAGTATACAAATTATATGTGTACAGTACATATTGTATACATATGTTATGTTTGTATATAATATTAACTGTAGAATGTTGTTTGCGTGTGCGTGCGTCACCTTGCGTTGGCCTGTTTATAGCGCAAACGCAAACAAAGGCTTTAAAAGTTTCCGTCGACACACGTGGATGTTCGTCTGTTGGATGGTTTGTTCGTTTTGTTTGGTTCATTCGGTGGTTGTATGTTTGGTTCATCTCATTTTCTTTTTTTTTATTTGCTGGAATGTTTCCGATGCATGCCTCGTCTGACTCATCCGTGTGTTAAAAAGTTATTTGAAGCTGCTGTGAAAATAATTAATTAAAATGCTGGAAAAAAGATATTTTTTCCAGATTTTTTACTCTTATTTCTAAATAATCGGAACGAATTCGATTCTAAGTTTTAAGAAAAAGTTTCAATTGAACAAACCACAATTTCAGCTATCTGAGCGGATGACTCGCCAAAATTGTTGGGATAATTAATGTGAAACTGACAGTCGAAACACCCATTCAACACTAATTGAATCAGCAGTGAATTTCTTGAGTTGCATGAAGCCGAGACAACTTGTCATCCTCGCCGATCATAAATCATCAAAACAAATTGTGCAAATCGTCAAATAAATTATTGTTTGTTACATTAGCAAACAACATCATCAACAGCAATAACAACATCAGCAACAAAACGTCAACTACAACATCAACAACAACAACAACAACAACATCAATTACATCAACTACAACAATAAAATTATAACAATGACATCAACAATATCAAAAACATCATCGATATTGTCCTCAAAAACAGCATCATAAACAAAACAACAACAACAATAATAATAATAATAACATGGCAAAAACAATTAACGCATGCAGAATGTATTTCATCATCATCTTCATCATCCTTCCCCAAATTTCATTGATCGCTGCCCAAAAGTATGTGGTCACCATCCTGTCCACTCCTAGAAAGAGGCCACCACAAGGACCACAGCCACAAAGACCACCACCACCAACCACAACTACAACATCATCATCAGTACCATTCTCAACAACTCTGTTTACAACATCAACAACAACAACAACATCATTATCGTTATTAGTCAGTCATCACAATAACATTGGCGTTTCCAACCAATATGACGACAATAAGGATGTTGATGACAATCACAACAACAACAACAACAACAACAACAATAATAATAAAAACAACACTAAAAACAAAACCAAGGATAGCACCAAAAAATACCAACTAGCTTCTGAAACTAGTGGTTAGTTGATTGGTTGGTTTGTTGGTTGGTTGATAGGTTAGTTGATTAGTTGATTGATTAGTTGGTTGATTGATTGGTTGGTTAGTTGATAGATTGACTGGTTGGTTAGTTGATTGATTGGTTGGTTAGTTGATTGATTGATTGGTTAATTGATTGGTTGGTTAGTTGATTGGTTGATTGATTGGTTGGTTAGTTGATTGGTTAGTTGATTGGTTAGTTGGTTAGTTGATTGGTAAGTTGTGTTTATTGTCTATTTTAAGTATATTAGAAGTGACTGCTGATAGATGTGATGCTGATGACGACGACGATGATGATATAGATGACAGGGAGGAGTAGAAAGAGGTTTTGAAGAGGATGAAAATGATAATTCATCATCATCAGTTGTTACCATTACCACATGCCCATTATGTTTGACCTCACTTTTTCACACACACACACACACAAACACACCACACACACACATACTATATATATATATATATATATATATGTGTGTGTGTGTGTGTGTGTGTGTGTATGTGGGTGTGTTTGTGGTGTGTGTTGTGGTGTGTGTTGTGATGTGTGTGTTTGTGTGTGTTACATGCAAGATAATTGCATACGGTCTGTTTGTTATTATTATAATTGTTTGAAAGTTTTTTCGTCTAGCTCTAATATGGCAAAATAGGACGTGCGTTAAAAAATTTTCAAATTTATAAATTTAAAAAAAAATCAGCTCATCATAATTTAGCAGATGTAAGGCGTATGGAATTAATTAAAAAATGTTTTTTCGGTTGGAAACAGTTTTGCGCGGTCGTCATCGTCATCGTCGTAATTAAGATGGCGTGTTATCATCGTCGTCGTCCTCTTTATTTACATCACTATTATCATTATCTTCTCCATCATCATCGTCATCGTTATCACCATCCTCGTCATCATCATCATCGTCATCGTCGTCATCATCATCCTCCTCATCAGCATCGTCATAACATCGTCGTCGTCATTCAGATTGTCCAGCCTTTAAATTCACAACACACCAGTGCAATGCTATAAAGCTTCATTACATCTTAGTTAGAATGATCTGATCATCATGATATTATTATTATTTATTTATCATTTCATCGTCACCACCTTCCTATCCCTGCCTCAACGAACGGCAGAATTTGCCTGACTTCCATGCTTGGTTCTCCCGTCTAACCACCGACACCTCAAATTAGGGCCTCTTAGCACTCGTTATTTTTAAACTTGGATTCATAACAAATCATAAAAAAAACTTGGATTCGTAGTCTTGAGACAACTGACATTTAAACTTTAATGTCACAATTTATATCAGTTCTGTGATGAAACAGAACAGGATGAAACAGAAGAACAGGATAAAAGAAAACTGGATAAAACAGCTTTTTCGCTTATCATGACAAACAAATAAATTAAAGTGCTGAAGAATAAATAAATTTAAAAAAATGTCTTGTTTTATCCTTGTTCCATTCTGTTTCTGTTTCTGTTCTGTTCATGTTATGGCGTTTGCACAAAATGCCCCAGACCAAGTTTCAACGTGTGCTTGCAGTATGTTTCGGCTAGCACGACTAACCTCATTTTATTATTCCCGTCATTCGTGTTGCTAAACACAATGCAAAGGAACTTCAGTGTTTATTTGTTTGAAATATCGAGTGTGAGCGCGTCAGTCCTTACTTAAAGCTGTCCTGCATGCGTCTAACAGACCAGCGCCATTCAAAGCACGGAATGATTGTGCATTTGTTTTATAATGAATGAAATTACGAAAGCAAAAAATTTCGTCTGTTTTATTTTTGCAGCAATAAACGATGAAACGAACATGCTGCGTGTAAACAATAATGAGGCTAATTATTATTTTCATCCCGTCGTTCATCGCGTGAGTAACTTTTTTTCTTTCTTTTTGTTGGTCTGATGATTTGTTCATAACATTTCGTTACGTACGCTTAACGTGTTATGAATTGTGCCTGATGTTTTACAATGCGTGATTAACAATTCATTATAAACGTACAACAATTCATAATACATGCACAACAATTCATAATGCGTGTATTTGTATAATAATTCATAAAACATTCATAACAATTCAGAATGTACGTTAACGAAATTATTTGCAAGCAGTGTTTCAATATATCCAAAATGCTGAACAATGTCCAGTTCAAATATTTGCTTTGCCATCTTGCTTTCAATGCAGTTGTATTTGGTAGTGGAACAAATTTGGCAAAGGTGCTGGTGTGAGTGCCACAAAAGTGCGGCTGATGTACTCAAGGATCGCATATGAATCATTTCTTTACACACTTATCTGTGGCCACCCTTTAACTAACTGAATGTAACATGATTTTGAGGACAGTTGCGTGGAAGTTATAAATATTTGATAGTTTTTTTGTGTGATTTACAACGCAAATACTGTATAACAAGTATTTGCTTTGTTCATTATTATTATTAATGATTCTTTCATAGAAATCGGTCATCAAATTTGAAATATGAATGAATTAAAACTGCTATAAAACCCAACGCGAGTTGTCTGCAATGCACTCATGTTGACCTAACAAGTAGCATGTTCGAAATTTAAACATGAATCTAGATCGTTCGTGCCTGCCTGTTGATTCTAGTGACTAGTTGAAATGAGGATGGATTTGTGGCACAACAAATGAAAATTTTGTAGCACAACACACAAGACTCACCGACTTCTGTTGAATTGTTTCAATGAGTAGTCACGTTAGAGCGTGATGTAATGAACAGATTGCATGTTGGTTTTTTATTTAAAACTCTAAAAAGGTGCACCAGAGAACCTTTGTTTGGTTGGTCCGCAGAGTGCTCCAGCCACGTCAAACATGACGTGTTTGTTTGGCAAACATTCCATGGAAGCGTTAAGGAAGTTTTAGTTTTTTCAAATAATTTCAAACGTAAATAGTTTTGCAGTATGGTAGGTGAATAAAGTTTATTTGTGAAACAGCAAATTGCAAAAAATGCAACTTTAATAAACATTTATGAAAATTTTTCAAACGAAGGTTTTTGTCAACAAATGTTTTGGTCTTTAACTTCAAAAATACTTCCAAGAAAGCAAGTCCCATCAAATGGTCAACTGGATGTATTCTGCTTTTTAAAACAATTTAATTTTTTTGATTTTGAACTTGTCAAAGAACTTGCGTATGTTGATTTTCACTGGCCGTGCAATGTGCATGTGTTGTGCTGGCATTGCTTGCCCACTGACACCAACTTATCCTGTTACTTTTAAATAAAAACATGATACTTTTACTTGACACATTTAAACCAAAGAAAAAGCTAAATAATTTCTGTCCAACAAAACAATTGAGTCCGCGTTGTTTTAGTTTATAAACGAATTTTTTACAATTAGTAGTTGGCTGCATTCAATAATATATACACACCACACACGCACACACACACACACACACACACACATCACACACTCACACGTTTTCCAACAAAACTAGGACCAAAGTTATCAGGTGGAATGATCATTGCAATCCTGCTGTCAGCTGTTTTTTCATTCCTGACGTTAGCCTTGACCAGCTTCTGCATTGGTTCCTACTATCTGAGGAGGTACCACAAGAGGAAGAAGAAGTGTGATGACGTCACCGTCCACGATATCAGGTGATGTGATGGTGGTGATGATGGGAATGTGATGATGGGGCTGATGGTAATGATGATGAGAGTGATGATAATGATGGTCACCATTACAATCATTTTTATTCCATTCTATGATTTTTACACCTTCCTCTTCGTTTCGTGTTCCTTCTTGCAGCCTGCTTCCTGCAAACACGTGTTTTAATGTTGACCAATAAATTTTTGCTCTAGTGTTTCAAATTTGGTTGAAAAGTTCATTTCTGGTGTTGTGTTTGAGAAGTGCAAATGCACCCCATCTCATCAAATCAATACTTGCTGCCTTTTAAATTGAGCATTTAAAATGCAAAAAATTGAATAAGTAATACAAATTAACCAGCATGTTTAGGATTTGGCCCGTGTCGACAACCGGCGAGTTGCACAAAAATTTGTCAAAAAACAAACTTATTTTGAAATTTTATTTAAGTTTATAAACATCAACTTATTTCAAAAATGTCATTAAATTTGTTAATGATGTTCAAAAAACTGTTTAAACTTAATTTCGACACGTCCTAAGGTATAATTTTCAATCTCAAATAAAACTTCAGCAACGTCAGCAACGGCACGAACATTATTGGAGCCACGATGTCGACCACCACGCAGACGGGCACCCCATCATCAACACCCACCACCACTCCAAACAAAACGAGGAAGCACCCGGACAGCCTGGATGGTGTGTCCAGCTTCAAAGGGGTGGACAGCATGACCAGGAAGTCGGCTGATAAGCAAATTAGCAGGCCACTGCTGCAGAGTTCGACGAACAGCGATCTTAACATTTCCACTCTCCCTCCTCCCCCCGCTGACCTTCTACAAGACTTCAGCCTGCATGACGTCATTCACGATCTGGATGACGTCATGCTGCATCTCAACAGCGTCACTTTCAACGCACGACACGACGTGAAGATGTCTCCATCATCACCATCCTCCTCCCCCTCCTCCTCAACCCTGCCCTCCACGTCGAGACTGAACAAACACAAGCAGCTGAAGACGGATGAAATTATATACGCCAACCAGATCGTTCACAAGGATTCCTTTGATATCAACACTGTCAACCTGACTGGAGTGAAGAACTTGATACTTGCCAGCAGCTGCAAACATGCGCCTATTCATCTTTCTGATAACAACCAAAACAACAACAACAACAACCAAGACAACAAAAACAACACCATCAAACATAACAACAAAAACTTCAACGATTTAAACTCTAATATTTGCTTTGATAACAACCTGAAAAGCGTCAACATTAACAAAGATACGAGCGGTTACAACACGAACAACAACAACAACATGAACAACCGCAACAACAACATCAACGGCAGTGACAACATCAACAAATGTGATGATGGAATCAAGGAAACATTGATGGTTGGATTTCAGGAATCGCGTTACAAAACAAACAATATGGATGTCGTCACTGGGTCGAGGCATGGCGATAACTACGTGCAAGATGGCCATGATGTGGCCAGTGAATGTTTGGCCGCCGAGAAACTGTTGAATAATTCTTCCAAGGCCAAATACGAAAACGTGGATGAACTTTATGGAATAATAAATAAAAATAACCCCATCCCTAATGGGAATAGCAGCTTCAACAACAACATAAACAACGAAAATGATAAAGTCGAAAATAAAATACAAAACATGATCAGCAACATGAACAAACATTACAATGACACTAACACACGTAAAACAGCAACAACACCAACAAATCCAGCAACAGCAACAACAACAACAAATCCAACAACCTCAGCAATCACATATCCACCTCTGATAAGAAAAGTGAAAAACATAAACGTTGGTGAATTGTTATCAACAGCAACAACAGGCAACAGTGCGGAATTACAAAATGTGAAGAATGCCGATGTAACACATGATGAAACTGGCCCAAAGTTCAACAACAGTTTCAAAATAAACTGTAACAACAACCTCAACAGCAATAATAATAATAATAATAATAATAATAATAATAATAACAATAATAATAATAATTTTGAAGAAATAACAAATGTAAATAAAAATAACAACAAATTAAAGAACAAGGGCAATAAAAATAGTGTGGAAATTTATCAAAACAGTGACACGCAGCAACAGTTGCCGCAACCGATCGATAATTTATCTAATTGTCTACAACAGCAATCGCAACAACAACCGCAACAACTAAATTTATCACTAAAACAACACAAAGTAACAGAACATCAACAACAACGAAAATATCCACAACAACAACAGCAACAATTGGTTAGTAGCTCTGACGACTTGTACAGCAGGGTGGTTAAAAATCCGATCAAACCTGCCCCCTCAGTTTACTACAACATGTCTGACTACATTAAAAATAAGAATCAGTCGAACTTCGTGTGAGACGAAAATGTTCATTGAATTTCTTTTTGTTTTGTTTAGTTTCGTGTGCAATGTTTGTTAGAATGTTGTGAGTTTCTGCTATTAAATTATTCAAATTATCCTGACACTATCACCATCTTTTCACTCACCATCATCGTCATTGCTTTATCGTCCAAATCATGTTTATTCTTCTTATATGTATCATCATCACTGTTGTCGTCATCACTTCTGACACCATACAACTACAACAACAACAGCATCATCATCAGCATCGACACAAACAACGACATGTATAATCATCTTTAACAACAACAGCGTTAACAACAACATTAACAACAACAGTTCATATCTTGTTTAAAACATGCTTGCTTTCACTCAGGCTTTTTGAATTTTAAATGTTTTAACTTTTAAACTTCAATATTTCAAGAATATTATTAATGCATAATGCACGAAAATGAAATAAATTTTATTATTATTTATATAATTTATATACGGGTTTGACAGTTCATTTAATGGTTTTTTTATTATTGGAGTTATATATTTTTAATATTCGTTGAACTAAATAAGCTACCTTGCAACATAAATAACTACACTAATGTGAAAATTCATCCTAATCGTTCTTTCTTAAGTTTGCAAATTTGTGTACGTTGAGTGAATGCATGAATGAACGAACGAACGAATGAATGAATGAATAAATGAGCTTGAGACTATTTGATTTTGATTGCAATAAACATAAGTGAAACATAAACAAAAAACTTTTTTCTAAATTTTGATTAGTATAAAGATGTCAGACGTGATATATATCTATATGCAATCCATTATATTTATATATATGTAATTTAGGGAGTTATTAGTAATTTATGTACATGTGTATAATTTACATATAAATCTGTTGACGTTAAATTAAAAAAATATTGGAAATGATCGTGCTTTTAATAATTTTAACCGACATTTCCTCCAAAACTTAAATATTGTCTGTGTCGACCGACGTTCATGTTAGAGGATGTGTCGTCTCAATCAATATCAAACTGGAGATAACTTTTTTTGATTCCCATCGCTCCATCATATTTCGTTGAAATTTTCTTCATAACAAATGTTCATCACTGATATATTAAATATATATAATATTATATCCATGGTATATATATCTCCCTATGTTATTAACGATCATGAAACAAATTTTATCATTTTTAAGATGTTTATTTTTCCATTGATTATTTTATAATTGTTATTCGTGCTTCATCAGTTGTTAGAAATTTTAAATTGTAAATAAGCTTAGCTGCAAAATGTTCATAACTACTTTGATAACAGTTTTGGGTCAACCGGCAATATATTATATATGCACCAACTTATAATAATTTATTCAAATATTTACAGAGCCTAACGACAATTTTAAAGGACCAACGTTAAATAGAACTGATTCTCACATGGCATGCTTCACTGTTGATGGGACAAGAATGATTTGAAGGTCGTTATGTTGTTTTAAAAAGTTAACGACTCGTTGAAAGCCACTTTTAATTGCCTTCTGACATTTGGATTTTTTTTAAACATTTCAGTTGATTTCAGGCGACACTGGCACGCAGACATGTTTTACGAATTATTTTGCGTGTTTATTTCATTTATTTTTCTTCTTGTTATTTACATGCACGCGTTATCATTAATCTGTTAGAATCATTTAAAGTTTTAAACTCAACCTAACTTTATGCATGAAGATTAAGGTGAAGATAAATGGCTTATCCGCAAAATTTGTTTTTGCATTATTATCGAGAGTAGCTCACATTCATGACCTCGTTAGCGCTTTGATAGTCTTCAAGTTTCACACTGAATCACGTCAGTCAGCAGCGCGTACGTAGGTGCATACACTAGTTCTGATTTTCTGTTATAATGTCATTACCGTGATCAACCGTTGAAATATAGGTTAAGACTTGCAATAATAATAATCTAAATGCTACAAAATTTGAATTCCTTTCTTTCAATTTCAAGTTTTTTCATTTGTTTTCAACAAGTTCGTCAATCAATTATTAAACAAGAAAATTTCATGTCTAAAAAATTAGGCATACAGGCATTTTTATAACAAACTTTAATACATGTTATAGAAATAAATACCATTTCCAACAAAGGTTTCAATAAAATGTTAAGAGGTATTTTTCTACGAATATTTCATGTCCCATTGTACAATACATAGGTACATAGCCACATGTCCCCATCTACCAATTTTATGTAAACTACGCTGGCTCATTAATCACATTTACAAATTATAAACAATTAAGCATTTTCGTACTTGATAATTTCAACCTGCTCCAAGACAAGTTATTCGCAACGAGAATAAGAGAACCATTCTGAGTAACTTTTTTGTTGTTGCTTGTGTATCTATGTGGCTTCGTGGTGTTACAAAACTCAATTTTGCTATATTTGATGTACATAAGCAATAATTTTCCAAAACTATTTTTCGATTTGTTTTTCGACCTTTCCTTTTATAAATTTCCTGTCAAATTTTTGATCTGTCTTTTAAAGTATGAAAAATAATTGCAAAATCTCCGTCGTTGTATTAAGAGAAATGCCAGCGCTAATTCATTAAGAAATTTTACGAATTTAGCACCAACCTTTTTTGTTGTAAACACACACGACGCCAATGAAAATTTTAACCAAATCTTACCTGAATATTTTCGGTTTCACTATTTGATTCATTGCAAGGTTGGATAAATTTAAATTTCAAAAATAATCTCGGCGGTTTGGAGTGAATGAAAAATGGATGGAAACAAATGAGAAGCTTTCAATGGTAACCACTCTGACAAGGGTTGACCAAAAACCTGCGCCAGCTATAGTTTTAACGATCAAATTTTATGGAGTAAACGATGAAGCCAGCTGATGCGAAGCTGGCATGAAAAGGATTTAGTGTGTAACGTCATATTCAATTTGTATTTTTTAGTGCAATCAAAAAAGATATAAAACAAAATTTAAAACAAACCAAATTAATTCAACTGTACTACAATAAAAAAACAAACAGTTTTTAAATAATTTAGAGCGACGTAACAAAATGATCATTTTACAATTTTAAATATTTCTAAACCGGAAGTTAACAAATCAACAACATCATTACAACATTTCAACCAGATCATCACATTTTCCATTATGATAGTTATAAAACTTAATGTCGTTTGCCCGTTAGTTGTTCTTCGAAAAATACTCCTTAGACTTTGTGGGGTCTGGCTTGATGGTTGGAGAATCGGGCTTCCAATTCGCTGGACAAACTTTCAGAAAAATTTAAATAAATTCATATTTCAATAATTAGCATTAAAATTCATAATCATTAAATATCACACTGCAATTGATTCATTAAAAAAAAATCTAAAAACTTTATAAACAAAAAAAAGTAATTCTGAAAGAAGGAAAATATGTTATGTGAGTGGAAGGATAAATTGTAGTAAGTCATAACTGAGTTGCATCTGTATATATGATTACAAAATTCATCAATCAGTAATTCAAATAAAACAAATGCACTATTAAATGAAAACAAAATTGACTGCGATGGGTTAATAAACTGTGGGAAATGAAAAGCAACGATGAAAATTGAACCGCCAACCTTCTCCATGCTGCTCAACGAATTGGAAAGCCTTCACCAGTCTGAGAGTTTCGTCAACTGATCTCCCAACAGGTAGGTCGTTGATGGTCAACTGTCTGACCACTCCTTTTGGGTCAATGATGAACAAACCTCTGTCAACATTTCAATTAACGAATAAACATAAAATAATTGAATGTTTTGGTGGCAATAAACTTATCAAAATTTGTAATGAAATATTGTTAAAAAAACATTGAAATGTTTCTTTTAAGAAAAAGTAACAGAAAAAATTAGTAAAAAACAAAAATGCACAGACAGTTGCAAGCAAAAAACGAAAAACAAACAAAAAATAAATGAAAATAAATATCAACAGAATGGGCAAATTCTAACAAATTAGAAAAAAATTCCATTGGCATAACAAAATGTTAATGAAGAGAACCTCAACGCAATGCCATCTTTCTCAATGAGGACCCCGTATTCCCTGGATATGTTCTTGCTGTAGTCTGCCAGCAGTGGGTACTTCAACCCTCCTAAGCCACCCTCCTAACAACAATCATCATCAGGTGTCAACACAACGAATCATCAACATCAAGATTTCCAAGCATTTTCACAACAATCATCATCAGGTGTCAATACAACAAATCATTTACATTTTCAAGTAACTTCATTTTAAGTAAGTTAGCAGTCATATAAATTTTTCACTTGAATACATTATATAAAATAAGAGTTGTAAAGGGTTTTAAATGATGAAGCTACAAATTTAACCACAACTTTGATAGTAGGTCATAAAAAAACAAATAGAATTTTCAAGCATAACTAAATGATTGGAACGTAATAAAAAGGAGAAACCTTTCTGGCAAGATTGATCCAGGCCAGATGACTGAAGTGTGAATCAGTTGACACCCCAACCACCTCGCAATTGATGGCCTTGAACTCTGCTATGCGATCACTGAATGCTATGATCTCAGTTGGACACACGAATGTACTGTCACGTTATTTCAATTTAAACTTCAGTTAAGAGTAACCAAAAAACTTTCACAAATGATGTACAACTACTCTATAGAACAAGTAGAAACGTAAATACTGAAGTCAACATTTTTAAAGATTGAATCCAAAATTTCAATAAAACATATAGATTTCTAAATTATTAAAATGTTATAACATGGCAAAACATAACAAAAAAAATAATCCAAGGATAACAATCAAGTTAGAGAACTGGCATGAATAAACTAACAAATCAAGAGGGTAAAAGAAGAGAACCAGGTACTTCCCTTTGAAATCAGCCAACGATAACTGCTTGAACCCCCCATCAACAACAGCAGTGCCCTTGAAGTCTGGAGCTGCTTGCTGGACTTTGGCTGCAAGAAGCTTTGAAGCTGTTTATTAAAAAGCAAATCAATGATCAACATTAACTACAATTCAGAAATAGATATAATTTATTATAGAGATAAAAAGAATGAGAACTAATAAAAGAAAAAACTTTTAACTTATTCATTGTGTAGATATTCTGATTGTGACCACAGACTGTTAAGGATGTCTATAGGGCGGCACGATGGTGTAATGGCTAAGGTGCCTGGCATTGGTGATGCAGTGTCCGGGTTTGAATGCAAAAAGATCTCCGCCTACCACATGCAAAAGTGTGTGATGCGTTGATTCATGTTAATTTATGCACCGTGTGTTTGTTGTACTAATGATAAAGCACCTCAGTTGCTTGCCATGACGCTATATAAAATGACATTATTATTATTATTAGAGCAATGTTGCAAATGCAAAGCCTGACAGCAAACAAATTTCAAACATATATAAAAACTTCACCAGAGGCTTATCCCATTGAGTCTATGCCATTCATTACTATAATAATTGATATTTTCACACACTACTTGATTCATTCATCACATATTGATTTAAACACTCATAAACTTATAAATTAACTCTAACAGATGTCATTATTTAAAAAAATTGTAATTTTGATTCAGATTTAATTTTAATTAAATAAAAACTATGATGAAACTGAACATGGGTAAACATGTGAACTTTCAGTGGAATGTGATTAAAATGAAAAGAATCTACATACTAATTGCCATAGTTCACTTTTAAACAAAATTAATAATAAATACTTGTGTGTTTCATAGATAAAAATGTATATGCAAGGTACAAAGCAAACTAACATGTGGAAAAAGATTTGTTGATATTTCTAGTTACAACCTGTCTGAGAGTTGTACCCTGTCATTATTTTTATTACAATCAATTAAATTAAAATAAATACATAAATATTTTCTCGCCACCACCACCTTACTTATATTTATTTTATCATATGACTATTCACTATTATTACATATTATAAAACTGATTAAACTTCAATCTTAATGAATAAAGTTTAATCATTAAAGAAAACTGAAATGTAAATGACTAACTAATCGGTGAAAGGAAAGTGAAAAAAGGTGAGGTGAGAGTGAGGCAATCAGGATCAAAATCAAAGATGACAATGTTGGTAGTGATGAAATGAAATAAAACTACTTACTATTCATTAAAACAATGTAAAGAAAAATTAAAAAAAGAATGATATATATAAAAACTGCAGCATTAACCAAAATGAGATTTTTCATCAACGAAGTCATCTTTTGTTGTATCTGAATTATTCAAGTTGAAACCTTGAGACGAGAAGAATTACGTAACCAGCCGCTACTAATGAATGAATATATTACGCTCAGTCATTTGGAGACGCAGATTCACGACGAAAAGTGAATTCGTGAGAAATATATATAAACAACTATTCATCAAACTCATCAAATGTTACAATTTTATAGTCCATTTATAAATACTTATACAATTTTTTTAAATTTAATTTTAACCGATTTATTTCATGCATTTGCACAATGATGATGATGATTAGCCATTTAGTCGAAGTCGACTTTCGGCCACTTTATGGATCTGTCTTCTCCATGCGTTCCTGTCCTCGACGATTATTTTAAGTTCTGAGATCGTCATTTTGGTGGCCGATGTGATTGTATCAAGCCAACGTAGTCTTTGTCGTCCTTTTCTTCTTGTCCCTCCCTTTACCTAGCATCATTGAAGTTTCCAGCGAATTTGCGCGCATAACATGGCCGAAAAAGGAGAGTTGTTTGACGATTTTGCCCTCAAGCGACATTTTTGGCTTGATACGGTCCAAGACCGTCTTATTTGATGTTCGCGATGTCCAGGGGATACGCAGTAGTCTTCTCCAACACCAAAGTTCAAAAGCGTCGATCCTTCTTTCCGCTTTCTTGATTGTCCAACTTTCACATCCATAAGTTGCTATGGGAAAGACAATGGCGTTGACGAGTCTCGTTTTCGTTGCAATGCTCACATCTTTGCTCCTCTAGATTTTATTTATTCCTTGCATTGCAGCCTGGCCGAGTGCAATCCGCCTTTTGATCTCTGGTCCATTTTGGCTTCCAGGAAAATGAAATCTTGTACTGTCTCGATGTGTTCATTGTTGATCTTGATGTTTACTGCATCATTGCATGCCGTTGTCATTACTTTCGTTTTCTTGATGTTGAGGTACAGTCCCATGCGTTCACTTTCCTCTTGAATTCGTTGGATCAAGTATTTCAGGTCTTTCTCACTTTCTGCAAGTACAGTTGTGTCATCCGCATATTGCAGGTTGTTGATAGTCCTACCTCCAAGTTGAATTCCGATTGTGGTCTCGTCCAGATTGCATCGTTGCATGATGGATTCGGCGTACAGGTTGAACAGAGCTGGAGATAAAATGCATCCCTGCCTGACGCCTTTACCGATTTTGAACCAATCGGTGTTGCCATACGATGTTCTGACAGTTGCTTCCTGATTGGAGTACAGTGTTTGTATCAGTTGTTCAATGTGTTCTGGTACGCCCATTTGTTTCAAACACGTCCAGAATTTGTCATGGTCCACACAGTCGAACGCCTTGGTGTAGTCAATAAAACACATATAGACGTCCTTTTGGTATTCTCTAGCCTTCTCCATAATCCAGCGTAGGTTTCCAATTTGATCCCTCGTGCCTCGTCCCTTGCGAAAGCCAGCCTGAACATCTGGTAGTTCTCGTTCCATGATTGCCACAATGCGGTTTTGTAAAATCTTTAGCAGGATTTTGCTGGCATGGGAGATGAGCGCGATAGTTCGATAGTTGGAACATTCCTGTAGATCACCTTTTTTAGAAAGCCAGGGACATTCCCTTCTTAGACATATTTTTAGAAAACGAAAACTGATCTTGTCCAGTCGTTGGGCCATGATTTTGTGCTCCAGATTTTCTGACACAATTTTTTAAGGATTTTGACTGGTATTGGCTTGAGTAGTTCTGCTGGTAAATTATCCGTGCCTGGGGCCTTCCTGTTTGGTAGTTGTTTTAGAGCCCAACTGACTTCTTCTTCCAGGGTGTCCGGTTCCAGATCAATCTGTTTGGGTTGAACAACCAGTTGGATTGATGGATTGCCAGCGTATAGCTCCTCTGCATAGTCCCGCCATCGTCTCTTGATTTGCCCCTCTTCTTGCAATATTATACCATCACTGTCCTTGACGGTAGACACTTTGCATGCCATGAATGATTTTCTGGCCTGCTTGACATGGGTAAAAAGAGAACGGGTGTGACCGTGTCGGTTCGCCTTTTCCAGTTCCTTGCATTGGTTGTTCCAGTATGCTTCTTTGTCCTGTCTGGCCCTTTTTTGGAACTCAGCATTGAGTAGTCGGAATTCCTCGATGTTCCCCTTTGTCTTGGCCATGCGACGATGCTCGGCAATCTTGATTGCTTCGTCGGTCAGCCACTTCGATCTTTTCATTGATTTATTGAACGGGATGATTTCCTCTGCTGTTTTTCCTACGATCGATTTGATTTCTTCCCACATTTTATCAGGCTCTTCATTGAAGAAGTCGCTGAATGCCTCAAATCTGTTCTTTATTTCCACTGCGTATTGGGCGGAGATGTTGTCTGTGTCAAAGCGGCGTAATGCTTGAGGTCTCTTAGTGGTGTTGAAACGAATTTTGATTTTAGCAGCCAGTAGCTGATGATCGGAGCCGCAATCAGCGCCTGGATAGGTTTTCGTTACTAGTATTGAGCTTTTCCAGCAGCGCTGACATAGGATATAGTCGATTTGGTTTCGATGTATACCGTTTGGTGCTGTCCAAGTGTGCAGCCTTCGTTTCGGCTGTTCAAACCAAGTGTTCATGATCGAGAGACGATTTTTTGTGCAACATTGGATCAAGCGGTCACCTGCGTCATTTAGTTCACCAAGACCAAATTTGCCGACCACAGGCAAGTCTTCACCTGATCCGACTTTCGCATTAATTTGCACAATATTTAAGCGTTTTAGTTCGCATCATTGAAGGAAATATAGAAAAGTGGAAATAAATCTATAAAAACAAAGTTGAGAATGATAGAATCTTGCGTTTTTCCGAGCTTGCTCTATGCATGTGAGACATGGACAATAAAGAAAAGAGACAAAGACAGATTGGAATCATTTGAGAAGAAGTGCTACCGAAATTTGTTTGGAATCAATTAGAAGCAAAAAGTAAAGAACGAAACAATCAGAAATTAACTTGGAAGACAGAAAAGTGTATATGACAAAGTCAGATAAAAAAATTAAGATTTTTTGGACACATTTGTAAAATGAGAGACGACAAATTTATTAAGATGGTACTAATGAGGAAAAGATATTGAAAAAAAATTGTTAGACCTGCGAAGAAATGGATAGAAGACATTACTGAATGGACTGGTGTTGGTATTCTGAATTCAATAAAACTGGCGAAAGATATAAAAGGTTTTTGGAAAGAAAAAAGGAAGAAATAAATGAAAAAAGCATGCTTAGATGTACACCATCGGCCTCGACGTTGCCCCGATGGACAAAGGATTATTGATTGATTGACTGATATGCGTTTTAGAATACTGTTCTGTTTTATGTATAGCCAAACGGATTTGAGTTCTGACACATGGATATAATATATATATATCCGTGATCTTACAGGCACACCCCATGATATTTATTATATACATATGATTATCAAATATATAAAATTATATATATATGTAAGTTATTATATATATTCATTTATTATGCTTCTTCTTCTTTTTCTTTCTCATGCCTAACCTTCAAAAACATTGGCAACCATCGACCTCCACAAAATCCGATCCTTGACACTTTGTAGCAGTTGAAATGAGGCGATATTCAACAAATGACACAAGGACTTCACGAATGTTATTCGTTGTTGACCGCGATCTCTTTTCCCTCATACATAACTGCATATCTAAATTTAATGATTTAGGAAAAAAATTCGTTATATAGAAATTCTGTTGTATAGAATTTGTTCGGAAAAAATTGTCTAAAAGGTGTTTATAAGTTATATACATTCAATATCTAAGGTATTTACAATATCTTATTCTTTCAAATATTTATTGCGCGTACAATGAATTTTTTCATTTTAAAAACATCAGTTATATTTTTAAATATTTTCATTGTCAATTTATTCCTGTATTTAGCATTGGATTTACGACAAATCACTCCAAACGGTAAACATACATTTGACATTTGGACGCCAATATTTCATTTCAATATTTCGTCGACAAAAGAATATTAATGTACAAAAGAAAATAAATGAACTGTTGTCAGAGAATTTAATTATTAAGTTCCAAAAAATTAACAACATAAGCACATACTGACAGTAATAAGTATGCAATGAATACAAAACAATGGAAAACGTAGAAAACAATTATCTGTGTAGGTGAAAAGAGGGAGGTGTGGTCGTAGCAAAAGAATTGTATGAGGGCTGTTGTATGTTGGAGATAGGTTGCATCCATTGATTGCCGACAACTCCAACATTGGGAGCCATGTTAACGGGCCTAGGGTTCCAACTGTTGGCTCTTACTATGGGATGTGGTTGGTATAAAACGTGACGTTGCGTGGGTATTTGCGGACTGTTGTTTCTGATCATGGCAGCTATCATGGGTACCATGACTCCGCTGTTGACCATAGATGGTGGTCCCATCATGCCGTGTGTAGGTAACGCTGGTGGGATGATTCCAGAATTATTATTCGAATTTCTCAACTGAGTTTGGTGTCCATTTTTGGGAGGCGGTGACTTGGGACGTAATCTTTCTATGTCTTCGGTGCAACCAGTCAAGTGACCATCTGGTTTTTTAGTAAAATTTGCATTATATGACTCCCTGTCGTAATTGGTACTGGTTAGCTTGGGTCCGATTGTTAGCCAGCCTGGTCTGATTGATGTATCTCCACCGAATAAGTGCAACCGTCGACGACCAAGGCAAAAATGCTCAATGATGTGAAATATTTCAACTGGCCTTTCATCACTGCCATCTCTTGGCTGTTCATCGATTATCAGGTCAATATCAACATTTGCGTGAATGAAATCTCCATCTGTACTTCTACGAACTGTACCCTTTATTCCCATTAAGCAGTGTTCCTGCGTAAAAACATTTTTTAGTTAAGTATGATCAAATGTATGATGTATTTGTGAATATCATGTATCATGAATGTTATAAATAAAACCAACTTTTGTTCGTTGAAAGATTGCCTTTGGTTCAATTCTTTTGTCGCCTCTCCATTCTTTATTAGTTTCAATCCAGCAAATGTCTTCACATCTC